TTATATATATTTATTTGTAATTCAGATCATAAATTTTTTAAATCTTCACAAATTTAGCCTAATTAAGATAGTTTATAAATTAATTAAATCTTACTTCATCTAAAGGAACACAAAGCTTGGCTAGCTTGTGAGATTTCTTCAGGAGATAATATATATGTTCGACCGGTGGGAGTAGAAGGATTGACCAGCGAAAGAATATGAGATTTAGGTAACACTAAAATATCATCTTTCAGGGGAAATTTAAATGAGGCTGAAGGTCCACAAGGGTGTAAAAATCGGATTTTTACTTCTTCATTTGTATCATATTTATCGATTATATATCCTAACCACCATTTATCATCATATACACATGTTACATATCCATTAATATTTTTAAATATAATTTTTTCATTTAAAAACGAAACTGGTTTATATTATATTTTTTAGAATTTGAATATATTTTGGTTTTTAGTCTATTTTGATCAATGGGAATAACCCCGTGAATTTTTAAGGTCCCATGTATGGGCAGCGCAGAATTAGATCTTTTGCGAAGGGCTAATTCCCCTTCGATATATTCTTGATTGGATATATATTCAATTGAATTCCATTAATATTTTCTTTAGCATAATTATATAATTCTAATGGGGTTAGGATTTGATTTTTATTTGGCCTTTGAAGACTAGCTCTGGCAACTAATCTTTTGACAGTTCCCCCGATACCGTCACATGCATTTTTGCCGTGAGCATTGGCAAAGAAATGCCATTCGGCAGGAATATTAAAATCATATTTATGAAGGCATATTTTCAGAAAATTTTTGCGATTCTTGTATTGAGACGCGGCTCCATCTGAAAAATATATTATTTTTTCTGGTTTAGAATTAAATTTGGCTGTTAAGAAATTAAGAAATTTTTTTTGGTAAAGGTGGACTGCACTAGTATTATGGTTTAATGATTCGGATATAATAACAAAATTTATATTTTTTAACTCTTCTCCAGATTTATAATATGCTACAAATGGATGTATAGTGGCCTGCACGTTGTTCCAATGAAATCCCTGAACTTCATCTTGTAAAATGAAGGAATAATTTTCAGAATAATCTAGAATTGTTAAAAATTCCCCATCTTTTAAATTTTCTTTGGAATTCTTCAAAAATAAACTTTGTTGTTTAGCTATAAACGAGTGACGCAGTAAAATTTGAACTTTTTCTAATAAATAATCGATGAAATCATCAACGGACTTTATAATAGTTTCAAGATTTGTTCTATCCACCGTGATCCATTGTTTAAACGTGACATATTCTATACGATTTCTTTGAAACAATTGGTATAATTGTCCCTTAAGAGATTCTATACCAGGGCATTGATCACAATTTGTTAAATAACATTTTGGCTGAGATGGATTACAAATAATTTGCGCCAATAGATAGTTGTAAGAATTTATACAGTAATCTTCTCCTGCTGTAATTTCAGCTATTAAATTTGTCATTAATTTCACATTCTGATGAATAGCGCAGACACAAACAGTGTGTGTGCCACTAGCTCCAACTAAAATACAGTTTTTTGGTCTAAGTTCGGCAAATTTAGAGAATCCAATTGATATATTTGGGTATTCTTCCTTAAACATCTTGAATATTTCTTTAAGATTATTTAATATAAGTCTTTTTTGAACTGGTTCTTTCTCGCCTTTAACAGATACACAATCTTTTATTCCTGGCATGAGTCGGCTTATTTCATCAGAACTATAAAAATCCTTGACGAGTTTAAATGTTTTTTCGTTTAGTGTCTTTCCTGCCTTATGTTTTGGAAATGAAAGAATTCCACTTTCTTTTACCATCATTTTAGATTTTCTTGCCATGTATGATGTTACGTTGAATTCCTTTTGAATTTTATTTACACTCCATCCTTGAGGCAAAATTGTAAGAATTTGATATTGTTGATTTTTTGATAATTTATCAAAGTTATCCTTTAATATAATAAGAATTTCCTCTTTCATTGGACTATCAATCTCGGAATCAGATATTTCTAAAACCTTACTCTTTATTGCTTTTTCAATCTTTTGAATTTTATTTTTAGGATATTTTTTCTCCATTAAACGTTTTCTTTTAATTGGTGATTCTCCAATATTGTGTAATGTTTCATTAATCGATTCAAAGGCATCCTGATTATGGGTTATTGGGGATATAAATTCTTCGGGAATATGTGGACCAATTTTACTTAACTGGTATCGGCACGAATTACATATTTTTTGTTGAAGATATAAATGATTATTTATATTAAGCATCCATGGAAGAACTGATCTTAAATTTTTTTTAAAATTTTTATGATTAACTTTATTCAGTGGATTGCAACATTTTATCTTATCTTTTAAGGGTTTCATTTAAAAAAATTTATTTATTTTTAAATGACAAGTAAAAATATTTATATGTAAAAGATATGAATCGGTGTTTGTGAAAAAATATTAAAGAAATCAATTTGTATTTTTAGCAACTGTGATTTATCGATTAAATTCGCTAATTAATTTTGCTAATCAGTTTATTTTTAATAATTTTAAGAAAAGATAAAAACAGCTGACTTACTTTTATTAATTTTTTCAGTGTTAAACATATGCTCAAAATTCAAAGACTTTGATCAAAAATTTTATAGAGAATGCTCAAATTCATTTGATACCCAAAATTTTATAACTAGTTAATTTTTTGTTAATTATATCGCTTAAAATTTTTTTAAAAATCTTTGAAATTTTCTGGTTAATGACAATTTTATAACATTCTTGGTCTTGATGGGTATGACTTAGTCTGGAGGGGGGGGGGATGGGGGGTAGGCCGGGTAATTATATGATTTTCGATTTTTCCCTTAATAATTTTCCTGCACTCCTTTAATCCTGCTTTTTTGTTCGCATGTTAGTCGGATTTTTTAATTATTTTTAATTTACATTGAAATATTAAAAAAATTATTAAAAATTTTTATCCTGCGAATATCTCAAGGGAATAAGGTTTACAAAGTTATATAATCTAATTTTATGATATATTATACATTAAAATATTTTTAATCAATAAAAAAATAAATTTTAACATATTAAAACTATTATATATAGCGCCATCTATTTTTTTTAAAGTATAAAAATCGTAATATTTTTTAAAATAAATATCCAGCCATGCTAATTGTTGAAGAAATTATTAAAAAAATAGTAAACGGATAATATTTCTTAAAAAAAATAAAAATCGGAGATCATATACATTTCGAAATATTAATTTCAAGTTTTCAACTGACCATAAGATGACCCATATTTTATAAAAAATTAATTTTGATGTTTTCGTCATAATCATAAATTATTAACTTAGCTATTGATATTAGATTCAATATTTGATCATATTTAGTTTTAAATTAAAAACTAATTATTTGACATCAGTAAAAAGCAAAAAAAGACGTTTTTTGGACCTTTAACCCCGATTATCTCGGCTAATATAGTTGCTAATGCGCTAAAATTTTGTTTATAATCTAATGGGAACATATATAACCAGTCTACAACTTTTTATCGAAATTGAAAGGGGTCGGCCGAAAATCTTGATTTTTTTGCTCATTTGACATGGAATAACCCTACTTCTTCTTTCTTCAAGAATTCTTCCAGTAGTGGAAAAATTCCGCTCACAGATTGCACTTGAAGCAGGAATAGCCAATACCCGTTTTGCCAATTTTGCTAAAATTGGGAATTCGCTTTGATGAGAAGCCCACCACTCTAACAAATTATCCACCTTAAATGTTTCATCTATTTTTTTATTTATGTAATTATAATATTCATCATCGGGTATTGACATATTACCAGAATTACCATCGCCCCATTTGTCATAAAACGATTCAGTTTGTTTAACAACAGTCGTAATTTGACTGGTCGATGGTATTTCATTTACTTCCTGAGCCTCTAGTGATTTAATATAATCTTTTATATAGTTTTCCGTCATCTTGCGATCTGTCCCTGACAACATACGTAATTGTTTGAATTTGGGACAGAGAAAAAGAGAAATAAAATGATACTTGTGTAAAACAAATTTTTCAATTAAAAAATGCTTTATATTAAGTAATATCAATTTTATTTCTCTTTTTTCGCTTTGAAAGGTATTACAAACTTCAAGAAGTTCATAATACCATATTACCACTTTAAAAAGAGTACAAGAGTCCGACTGTAACTCAACAATAGCTCTGTTAAAATTCTCAAGAATGTTGACTAGATCCTGAAGGATCGGAAAGTCTATAATATAATACTTTTCCGATCCCCCATGTTCTAGAAGAACTTTTTTAATTTCTTCATTTTGAGAATAAACAGAATTGAGCATATTGTATTTAGAGTTCCAGCGGACTTCTATATCTTGATAAAGGGCTTTTAAATGCTGGCATTTATTACTTTGTTTTATATGCCCCACTAATATTTTAGTATTATCTATTGTTGATTTTATTAATGGGGCATTACTTTCCAAATATTTGGAGTTAAATGAATTTCTTAAAATTGTATTTAATAAATGACAGCCGGGCCGAGCTTAGGGCCGGGCTTGCAGGTCTTTGATAATTATACATACTGTTCTAAGTATAACTTCTAAGTTTTCTAACACAATTTGAAAATGACTAGTGGAGCACTGCAATTTTAGATATTAAAATATATTAAGTAATTTAAAATGGAGTTTTCCGGTATCTTTCAGGAAATTAATAATTAGATCGATCTGTGGGTGTTAGGTAGTGTTAACCATCACCCAATATTATATTAATCATAACTATAATATAATATAATCTTATAACCAATAACTCATAATGTAAAATTTTTTATAAAAAATATTAAGGCCCGGCCCGGGTTTAAAAATCTTAGGCCCGGCCCAGCCATATTTAAAAAAAATTTTTTAGGCCTGGCCCGGATATGTTTAAAAAAAATTTTTTTAGGCCCGGCCCTGCAGGTCTTTGCTATTTTGCTTGTATTTCTTATATGCAGCAATAAATATTTCATACAATTTTAAAAGAAATAATTTAAAAATGTATTACTATGTATTCACATGTTAATATATCTCCAATTTCCTTATTATCCATAGCTTTTTTTAAATTAATGTAAGCTGGAATGTATCTTAAAGTATATGCCATTATTGATATTAAAGTTGGATAATATTGCGAGGCTTTGGTAATTCTGCAAAATAAATATTACAAATACATATAATTTTTCCACTTTTTTGCATCAATTTCATTTAAACCAGCTGGTGGTATACATATAACATGTTTTCCAATAAATAGTGCCTTTGTTGCAATTTGGGAATGAAAATAGGGTTGAGTCATAATACATATCAATTGAATATCCTTATTAACTAAAACCTATGACAGTTTAGTAATTAAATAATATGCATAGCATATTACCTGATCCTGATCAGTTGAAAAAATGGCAATTTCATTTTTTTCAGCAAAATGTTTTAATTCTAATGAGTTATGAGCCCAAACACCTATAACTTTGAATCCTAAATTTTTGAAAATTGCCACAGATATGCTAGAAACATCACTTAATCCAAATATTCCTATTCCTGGCAAAATATTATTTAAATTATTACAATTGTTCATAAGAAAATCGTATTAGATAAGAATAATTCCAACATCAGCTGTGGTAAAAATATTTAAGTGAACATACTGAATTTAAAATATTTATGATTGCATGTCAAACAATATTAGAACATTTTTAGTTGTCAAATAATTTTTTTTAAAATGTAAAAATTTTATAAATATAATTATAGAAAAAATGTAGAAAAAGTATAATCGAGAACTACTGGCTCAACATTATTCATACTAGATGAAATTAATTGAATATAAAATTCTACTGTATAATTTTATTAATATAAGATAATAAATCAATTTAATTTAGTTACATTAAAACTAAAATAAATGATTAATAAAAGTACTATTATAAACTATGGTTTGGGATATATGGAGCCATGAATTGATTAAGAAATTTGAATGATAAATTTCTAAGCCAATGTTCTAATCGAAATATACTTTAGGAATGCCCCTTAGATGGGTAATTTTTTTTCAACCTCTTTCAAGAAGGAAAGGACTTTGTGGTTGATCCGAGAGTTGATGTGACAGCAGGAATGAATTATATATTATTTAATTCAAAATAGATTTTTTTTATTTTTGCCTCCGAAAGAGAGTTTTCACGGGGTGTTAAATTCAGCGAAGATATCTACACAAGTATAATCCCAAGTGAGAGGGATACCCCATTCACATGGGATTAAGAATAAATCATATGGCCTCTTACCAGCTAAAGTTGAAACTCAAAGGCTAGATTGTGCTTAATATGATGGCTCTCCTTAGAGCTTTGATTATTATATTAACTGCGCTATACCAAAGATGACGGCCTTTGGAGAATCGGCAGTGTAATGGATGATGTTCATTATTTTTAACTCTGATATTGCAAAGAGAACAGTTAAAAAAAAGAAATGATATTGCAACAAATATGAAGACAAGTTAATATTCTTAATTTTTCTGAGACAAAGACTGAGGGCTAGGGATAGCTTCAATTCATTTATAACCACTTTCAAAATGAAGAAATGCATGCTGCTACTGAAAGATGCAACGGTAAACGAATACCAAGGTCCCCACATGTTGAAGATAATGATGCTTAAGTCCACGGTAGGAGTGAAAGAGTTAGATTTGATTTTCAAGTTCAACGAGTTCTTTTGAATTAAAAAAAATGTGGGGAAAACGAAATACATAATAAGTTTAGAGAATATATTTGATTTAAAAAATCATGGTGAGATAAGAATTTGCTGAGAATTGGCTTGAGGTTTAGGACTGACTGTAAGGAAGTGTTAAGGCTATATTTATTGCGTCCGAACTGCTAATGGGTTACCCTAAAAGGATTAGTAGTTTACTGTTTATGATCCTGAAAAGGAAGGCCAGATGGTAATGGACATCGGTGAGATATATTTCATATTTATTGATATTCAAAATAAGACCTGTTTTAGAAAAAAGATCATCTTTAGGGACTTTAAAGTAGCTCAGAAAAAGGTCCTGGTAAGATTATGTTATCTTGTTACCGCATATTGAGATCAAGATTGAAATGATTACAAAATTTCAGAATAAATTTATGATACTCGAAAAAAAAGAGCAGGGCCGAGGTGATTTCCTTATTGAATACCTAATTCGGATTTGATAAAGTCCATATTGCATTTTGAGAATGAAAATAATGAAATACTGCTAAATATGAATTTAAAGTATTCTGGAAAATTATCTAAAAAATTAGGAACAAACTAGTTACGATTGAATGAATAAATGCGTTCTTGAAATCAAATTTGAGAATGTATGTGTCAACGTGAGCTGGATTTATGTAGCTTGTGTAGCAGCCACTTTTTATTCCAAATTGAGTTGATGAGGAAAGATGGGTCTTGATGTGATTGCCTATAATTCTAGCGGAAAAATACACAGGCAGAAAAGAAGAGGAATATGACATCTCTGGAGATTTTATCATGATTTTGTTTAAGAAGGTTGTTAGATCTATATCCAAAACTGTAAGTTATGTAATTTTAAATCATATACTAAAATTATAGATTTTTATTAATTGTTTTCTGAAATGTAATTGTAACTTGATTCCAATTAAAATTAATTGGGAAAGAACGAAAAATGATTTGAGGAAGAATCGACACACAATCAAAGAGGAAATGATAAATAAAGTTAAAGAATACTGGATATATTTCCCAATATTCTAGCTCTTGATTCATTCTGTATATCAGAATTCTAACTGTTATCTATTCGCAGGGTTAAGAAGATATTTATAAAAAAAATGGGAAGGACCTGCTATATCTTTGTTTTATATATTACAATTTGAGGCTCGCAATTCAACAAAAAAATAGAGAATTTACAGTTTTCCACACTTAAGCTTAGGAAGAACATCGCTACTAAGGTGCTGTGCTTTGGTTGCTAATGCACCCCGTTTTTTAAAATTAGTGCTAATTTTATAAAAAATGGATCTAGCATTTTTTTAAAAAAAAATTTGAACCCTAGGTATACATAGAATTTCAATTTTGAGAAATTTTAGGGTTTGTTTTAAATAAATATTATTTTCATTTCAGTATAATCTTTTTATTTAATTTTCTTCCATTCATCTATTTAAAATTAATATATTATTAGATGATTCTACATGTCAAAATCATATAAAATCGAATACATAGGTAATAAGGTTTTATAAATTCAATATATATTAATTCTTGCGCGTTGTAATTCAATTAATTTAATGTTCATTCTTGAATTAGTCCCATTTTAAATCTGAAAATAACTAATTCAAAGGACAGACATGTTTAAAATATTTTATAATTTTTGATAATTGGGGTTATTTTCGGATTTTTTATTGGTTATGATGATCATTCGAGTTTGATACATTTGTGTTCGATATTATTTTAATTAGCAAATACATGTATATCTTACCCTATATTAAAATATAGTCTACTAGGGAAATAAACCAAGCCAAAGCAGGCAACACCTCCCATAAAATTGTATATAATGGAGTAAATTATTTAAAAAAATATATTCACTTCCCTTTGCACTCCCTTTTTAAAAAGGTAGTAATGCCCTTTATGCCTATTCTCCCCCATATCTTATTAATTTAAATTATTTACCTTCCGAATCAAGAGTTAATTAATATAATTGTTCCATATATAAAATATTTGCTCCCAAAAATACCTTTTGATATCAATATATTTTTTTAAATCATATTCCTGCAAAACAAAGAATAAATTATAATTTAAATACAACGATTAACAACTACCTTATTCAATAGTTGTCCTTTTTTATTGTGATGTTATGTCTGAATTGAAAATTTAAGTAATATGGTTTGGGGTTCTAGATGAAGTGTGGTAAATTGCCAGTTAAAGTCAAAGATTGACCCATTTAAAGATTTAAATTGTGAAAATCTACCTCAATTGACTCAAATATTGTTATACGTGTTTTCAAAAAGCATGTCACTTAAAAAATGTTATATACCGTCTGGATGTAATAGACATCGCATTTTGAAATCCTTACACTTCAAAACTAACTAAATGCTCTCAATTATTTATTTTTTCAAGAATAGACTAGCTATAGTCTAATTATGCTGGTAGCCGGATGCTTTCCTTTTTTGAAAAATTAAATTAATTATAACATAAAGTATTTAATTTTTGAAAAAAAATCATAATTAAGAGTCTCTAGTTATTTTTATCAAATTTCGATATCTTTTATCTCAATTTGATAAAAACTAGACTAAAAGTTCCACAACATACTTTAATAAAATATGAAATTTATTTCAAAAAAAAGTAGTGACTCGTTTTGGAATTACAAAGATTTCAAAAAGCGTTGTTTTTTTTGAGCCACACCCGGTGTAATGTATATAAAAAAATATACATTAAATCTTCACCTTAATATGAGTAGGGAGTGTATTTAAAATGAATGCCTGACAAATATTTTAACTAACGAGTATATATTTTTTTTAATAGGCTAGAGGCCAGAACTGCTTATAACCAATAAAATTATCTTCTATTCCCTAAATTTTCATTACCACTATTAATATTTATTATTTAAATTTCTTTTTTTATATCATTATATTTAATTATTTTTTAAAATTATATAAATTTAACATTATATATAGATTTGGCTTGAATATTCGATATATTGTCCAAAAAAAATAAGAAAGAAAGTATTTAAGAAAAATAAAATAATAAAATTATAAATTAATTTTTTAAGACTTTGACCTTCAAATTTCAAGATAACCATAAACATTCGCCGCTTGAAAATTAGGTGTGGTCATTATTTCAAAATATTGAATCACCTAATATACATCCTCTTCCGATTGATAATTAGCCAACAGGTATAATTATCAATTGTCATATAACCGGATTTATTTTTTATTATTCTATATTTAAAATTGATAAATAATGTTCATAATTAATCCTATTCAAATATCATTAGTAAAATTACTATATATAGATTTTTAAAACAGTGACTATATTTTATATCTTTTTTCCAATAATAAATTAATTTTTTGTGGAAATGAAATTCTATTTGGTAGCACTCTTTTTGTTAGTTTGTTTCGCGTATAACAACGATGCTTCATCCGACGATAATTCTACTTCGGTAGTCGGAGTTGCCAGGGTAGCGGAAATAACCGAAATACCAGGAATAAACGGAGAAAGCTCACGTTATATAGGACCTCTCCAATGTTGGCCCAGGAAATATTACAGTATAGTTATTTAATTTTGTAAAAGATTGTTTACAAGGTATATATGAACCTTTATTTGTTTTCTATACTTATAAATTTTTTTAAACCCTTTTATGGTTTAAAAATAGGTTTCATGGCTACATTAAAAAAATGAATATTCTATTTTATTTATTTATTATCTACAAAAGATTGTTTTGCAATCTATTGCCCTTACTATATGAGACACTATGATTATTTTAGACATTGCTGGAGATGTTACTGTAAGCACTTCTTTTTTTTTAAAGTCATAATAATATATTAGCCGTATGCAGAGGTCTTAGGCTCCGCCAGGATTTAAAATATTGAGCATTTTCCAGTTCAGCTCAAATTAAAAAAATTATCTGAATTATCTCCCCCTTCCACCCTTACCTTCCATGGATAAATTTTTTTTTTGCCATTTTGAATAATTTTTGTTTATCTTATGGAATTTAGATTAATTTCTAAAATAATTCCATCGGGTAGGGCTTCGGACCTAAAGATACTCAACAATTAGAATTAAAATATTAGTTGTAAATTTTATTTTATTTAACAGATAACTACTATGCCAAGTGAGTTAACTTTATTTATACTTATTATCCAATTATAACTTCCAATTAAAATTTCTTTTTTATTCGATTTCTATTCTATTTAAAAAAAATAAATTATATAATATATTTTTTATTTTTAATATCTAGAGCTGATAGTGAGGAGACTGTTGCTCTTAATGATACCCAAACGCAATGAACTCATCTTTGATGATAAAAATTTGAAATATTATACTTGTATAAATTTTCTTACTTTGGTTAAGTTCTTTTATAATAAATCATGTTAATCAAAAATAAAAGGTTATAATCTGTTTAAACAATAAATTTATTTACGAAACATAAAATAAAGGTAAATACGAGGTATTGTTATAAGTTGATTTAATTAAATTTCTTCAAAAAAAAACAACTTATTATTAGAATTTGGCTATGTCCTAAATCATTTTTAAAAAATTCGAGTTTTAATACTTCTGGAAGTCTAAGATTTTAATTAAAATTTTCTAGAATTATTTCTTCTTTTTCGATAAAGTAAAAATTTGCAAATCAAATTTTTTGATATTGTTTCGTTGATAAATTTCATATATCCCTTTAATATTTGAGGCACCGTTCATTCATCGACAATTGTCACCCATCATAAATTTTTGATAAAATTCAAAGGCTTTGAACTCAATAGACTCCAATTTTTTTTTTGACACGAAATTAAACCACAAGATAAGGTCCTTAAATTAAATTTATTTTGAGATAAAGCTTATAACATATTTAATAATGTTAAATTAAAAAGTTAAATATTATTTGGATAAATGCCACGAATTTTAAATAATGACAAATTATCAAAGAATTTTTATTATCACCTCTAACTTGAAAAAGCTCACTATAAAAGAATTTTTTTTTTAAAAAAATTATAATTAAAATTAGTCGAAAATTAGCAAAAAAAGAAATTCTATCTAAAATATTAGCAAAAAGAGGAAGTAATTCCATAATTCTGTCAGTGCTCACCATAATTTTGTCGGTAGCCTATAATAAACCACTGAAGTCTAATATGATTTGAGTGATTAAAATTTAAGTACATCTCCACGATTTATCCGAACATAAAAAAAATATCTAAATTTATTATATTATATCAAGCACAATAAGTAAATTGTATATAAAAATAATAAACAAATTCGATAGTAAAAAAAGAAGTTTTGAGATCTAAAATTTATTTATCTGTTTAAAATATTAGGTAAATTATTATATATGCTTTTAAATACGCGATTTGAAGAACACTGAGAAAGGAAATGTAATCGGTCACTTATTCAACCAAGATTTTGTAAATTATGCCCGTAGCCATTTAAAGTGAGTGGAAGTTGTTAAATATTAAAAATTATCTAAAGCATCTAAGAAGTATAGAGCAATTTAATAAACATGTTAATTTGTTTTTTTTGAATATTGATGTTATCAGAGCCTGAAAGCTTAAACCAAGCCTGAACTATTAAAAAATTAATTACCTAACATCTAAATAAGGTATTAGGCTCTGTGCTAAACTTAATTGCATTTACCTTAGACTAAATAGCTTTGAACTAGGACACCCTATTTTGATGTTTTAAGTATATGGTGCCATTGTTATTTATCGTATTTATTTCCTCGTTTATTTTTGTATTCTTAATTTTGTTTTTCTTTTATAGGCTGTTTAGTAGGAGGTAGAACCAGGATATATTAGAACTAATGTTACATTATGGTATCCTATTTTTAAAGTTTATGGATCAGTTCATTAGCCATTTTTTTGCATATTGTAATTTGGCTTATAGATAAATTAACATATTACAAAATTTTTCTCCTTATTCTTAATCGAATGGTTCAATAAAATTTTTAGGAAAAAAAAGTTAAAAAATTATTTATTTTTATAGTTTAATAAATACCGGTTATTTGTTATAATGTATAAACTAAGTATATTTGTCTCTGAAATAATAATAAAATATATAAGTTGTTTTAAATGATAATATTTTATAAATGCTGTTTCTCAAATATAAAATACTAAATATTTTTGGAAAAAAGCATTCGAACCGCTTAATCCGATATAATACTTTTTATTTGAACCTTAACCCATATTTATTACTCAGATCCGTAGTTTTCGTAAACATTTATCAGATATCCAAGCGAACCCAAAAAAGGTTTCCCTCACAGCAGCAAAAATAAGTTCCCGGAAATAAGTTCAAATTATAATAAGGATCATATTTCTTTAATAAAAATATTATTGTGGGAATCGAAGAAGGATTCTAAATTCTAATGTATCTCAATAACTGCCAACAGATTATTTGAATGTTTGAAAAAAGGTGTAATTTTTAACAATTATCATCTCGGGTTATTAAAATATAGTTTTTTTAAAATATTAACACAACAATACGCTAAATAATTGAGGAAGACCTCTAGGAAAGCCATAATGTTTATCGTTACCGGACATGTTGGTTCAATATTATATACGTAAATATGAATTATTCTAGGATAAATATATATATATATATATATATACATGTAAAACTTAAATAATTTTATTTAATTATAAATTTGGAAAGATTTTATCAAAATAATCTAAAAAATTATAATTCTTAAAATTAAATATATAAACATTAAACTATAAATCAAGTATTAAATTAAGTAATTATAAACTCAAAAATAAACCCATCAACAAAAAAAATAATTATAAAAACAAATTTTAGCTATCGGATGAAAAGAGGATCAGGTTTTCATTTAAAAAAATCTAATAAATTCCCAGTTGTTAAAATTGGCGGCTCCTATACCCCCTTGACCACGGATTTGTTAGCGCGAATTCGTGGCGAAGTTATAAAAATACACAAAAATAGAGCATATTTAGCATGATTCGCCGCGAATTTGGGCTTACTATGAATGAGGGATGAGCCTCTGAAGTAAAACGGCTTCCCTCTGAAAAAGAAGAAGTAACATTTGTAAAATAATTACATACTCAAACATAAAATCGATATTACTCTTTTTTGTTGATCCCGATATCGATCACCCGATGATCGTTTGAAAGATTAAATTTAATAGCGAATATTATAAAATAATTTTATTGGAAATGTCGTAATATTAAAATATATCATGATGAAATTGTCTTAGCAAAAATTATACAAATAGAAATACAATTAAACATTCAATAATTCACAATCATAAAAGTATAATTTTTTTCTAAAAAAGAGAAGCTTAATATTAATCGGAGCAAATTATGATTTATAAATATTTATTTCACAGGCGTAGAAACGTAAAATTTAGTTGTTTATAAAAAACATCTCAAACTTGTATAAAAAGACTAGCTTTTTTTCAATCGAAATCACATGCGCTTTTATAAAATTCAAATTATTCTCTGCTTAACTGAGCTTGCACCTTGGAAAGTAATTCGTATATCTTTTGATCCCTGCCAATATCTTTACTTTGCAAATTTATCACCAACGAAGCGGTAAAATTTAAGGATTGATTCAATATATTTTGACTAAAAATTAAAAAAAAATATAATATTAAGTCAATTATTATATATGTATATATAACTGGTTTTTAGTGGAAAATGCGATAGGATCAAAATCACATGAATTAAATTTTATAGTGCTAAAGTGTATCTCTAAAATAGCTGTAAAATTAAATTTAAAATACCGATTATACACTAATTTAAAAATAAAAAAAATAGCAAACAATCCTTGAATGATAATTGTTATTACAAAGTAATAAAAGTTCCCCAAATTAATAAAATCCTATTTATAATATTTTTTAATATTAGGTCCCAATAAATCTTATATTTTACTATATATTTCTCGAGGTCTAACTTTTATTTTAGAAGCGGGGTTAATAAAAAAATATTGAATGATAAAATGATAGAAATAACCTGTTATTAATAGTCAAATTTTCACGACTAACGAATATATGAGATATTAATAATAGAATCACATGGGCCAGGTGAAAGTTGAAAGGCGTATTTTGAATCTTTGAAAATAATATAATTTTTTTTATTAATTTAAAAAATAAACATTTAGATTTGAATTATCAATAAGTCACAATACAACAATTCAATCCTTTTTTTGTAATAAACAATTTAATAGTAAAAAAATATTTAGTAGAGCCGTTAACACCTATCATTCGGGTATGCTTCTTATTCCCTAATTAATGATCGCGGGGTTAATAAGAATTAACGCCAATTTAAATTAACATAAAATTGTAGCAATATTCAAAAAAGCGACTCATTATTATTATTATTATGGTTTTACATTTATTTGACAAAATAAAGTTCCCAAAAAATTAAATTTTAAAATTTATCCTTTTAATCAATATTTATCAATAATATTTCATTTTTCTGATGTTGCGATAACTCAATATAAGAACTTTAAAATAGTTAAAATCTAAGCCATTATGCGGAAGGGAATTTCTTCGTAACAGCACATGGCAAACATTATCAAAAGGTTAGCAACAAAAGCTAGCCCTCAACATTAAACATCTTCGACTTATTTAATTTTTGTAAAGCAAATATCATTGGGAAATTATATGGATGATAAATATGAAAAATATCTTGTCCAAAAGGCTAAATCCTTCCCGGAATATAAAAGATTTATGCTTTTATGCCAAGAATTAAATTTTATCTTCAATTCTAATATTGATTTGCATTTTAAATATATATTTTACATAAATAATTTGATAGCTATTGGCTTATATTACAATTATTGATTAATATTAGATATTTATAAGAATATCCTCAGAAAAAGGGAGGAGAGGGAGAGTTTTAAAAATGTTAATTTTTAGGACATACTAAACAATTAACACAAAACTAATAATCAAAATTATTTTAAATTAATGGTATTAACGAATATTTAAAGTTTGGCTAATGCATCAGGACACGCAATTGAGAAATAACAGTAGCTAAAATTAAAAATATTAAAACTACCCTTATTTTATTAGTCAAAAAGATAAAATTTTAAATTTGGTTTAAAAGTTTTAGAATAATTTTTTTCAGACTTAATGATATCGCAAATTTTTTTAAAACAGTTTACAAATATCATCGAATTTTTTGATTGACAGTCAGCTATTTTTCCACTAATTTCTTGACCCGATATCCTGAAGCATTAACTTATTGCTTACAAAGAAATATTTTACTAAGGTTAAAAAAATTATGATGTATCATATTTTTCAATTTAAATCGGTAACTTCTCAATTGAAATATTAGTTTTTTCAAAAAATCACAAATTTTGTCAATCTTAATGCATAATAATAATTATATGGTGCTTAAGAAAAATAAAAAAAAAGTAGGAGATAATAAAATTATACATTTTTATCGTAGAGATCAATGTACAAACGCAAAATTTTTTCCGCGTTATAACCGAGTTTGATAAAAGTTTGCGCTATAGCGGTCGAAGGAGTTCGCCATTCGAAACTTTTGTTTTCGAGATAGCGGATCAAAAACTCTGATTTAATTAAATATAATATAAGAGATTAATGTGTGAAATTTATTTAAAATCTTTCTCCCCTTTAAATAAAATTATCTTTTAAAGAAAACAATAATTAAAATTTCAAATCAAAAATGGATGATCTTATAAACATTATATTAAATTATAATATAATCAAGATAAAGAATTAAGACAAATTTAACTTTTTCACATATTTCAAGCAAATAATATTTTTTATGGACAATTCTGTTCTTAAATACCCAAATAAATTCAATTTATGTTTTGAAAAATTATATGCTTAAAGCAATTTTAAAAAAAAATAGTTCTAGAATTCAAGCTTCAATCGTAGCCTTAAATAAACTATAAAATTTTATTCTTTTAAAAACTTGTAGGAAAAAAGGGAAATGATTGTTGATATGAAATAAGTCCATTATCGTTCGCTGCAATACATTCGAATCTTTTGCCAATCGTATAAACCTTTTGTAATCAAAATATAATTTAAAATATTCTAAATTTTTAGGACTTGTGCCGATATTATGTAAATGATGGACCAGACAATTCTTAAAAAAATTGACAGATATTTTTTTTTAAAAAAATCGAGATCCGATATTAGCATTTTTGTTGTTATTTTCATGATTGTATCAATTTTTTAGGAAAATCGTTACAAATATATGGAAATGTTTTACAACAAATCATATTGATATTGTAATCGTTATATCAAACTTCTAAACCCCTCCCTCCTTCCCGAACTAATAGAGATTTTACCCCCTTGAAAATTTTATGGCGGATTAATGAGAGATTTTTAAACGTGTAATAGGTCTATGCGTATTAAATATACCATTGTTATAATTTAATTAGGCATCATAATAAAATAATGATTACTAAGTTTAGTTTTTATGATTGTATGGGAAATATAAATAAATTTCTCAATGAAGAAGAATATTTTAAATTTAATAAACATACTTAAAAGAACCAAAAGAAGACGAAGAAGATTGAATGATTAAGCATAATTTTGCGCTTGCGTTATTCAAACAAAGTTTACCAAAAAGAAAATAAAACAACCTTGTCCAATAACATTCCTATATTGTTGTAATTGGGCAAGCTTCCATACAATTCATCAAGAATTTGAGTCCAAGTTTCTTTAATGAGATCTTTATCCCGATGGTTGGCAGCTTGCATAATGATCAATTGACAATCCCATAGTTTAAACTTTTCTCCGAAATCTTGGTACAGCTTAAATTTTATTTGCAAATCAATTTTATCGTGGAATTAGAGGTTTGCAGAGAAAAATACAAAACACAGTAAATAATAACTAATATTTTCATGGTGTACATATAGGGGAGAGGCGATGTTAGCAGATGGCGATATTCATGAGCCATGATATTAGAAATGGGCGGTAAATTCAAATTACGAGTAATGATAAGAAAGAATTTATAAATAAATAATTACAGGCACTATGAATATTACAAAATATCTGTTGTATTTTGTGTTTTTTTGAGTCGCTAATAGCAAGCGATTTCACAAACAAGGTAAATTCACAATAAGAATAGATTTAAGCTGAGTCGATTTTCAGATTTAAAAGGTATCTATCTTTTCCCTACTAAAAAAAAAATAAAGCAATTCTATACCTAATAAAAAATAAGCTATATATAAAGCAGAGATGTACAATAATACCAGTTTTTTTTAGTTTTAGTTAATACCAATGATACAGTATCAGCACAGTAACATCGATACAGAAATAAAAAATGAACCAAAAAGCCAATATAAATAATCTTATTTTTTTAAAAATATTTATAATTAGTATAAAAATATCTTTTTTAAAACATTCATTTGCCATCAGCTGGTAATCGATTAAAAATATAGATAGATATTGATGTATGGGCCTATATCTATGGGTTAATTTAAAAAACTAATTCAATCGCGTGCATAACAAGTATAGATTTTGTTTATAAAGGAGTTACTTGAGTTAAATCATACAATTGTTCATTAAGCTGATTAATAGCGCGGACAGCAAATTCATTATTTTCTCCGTATTTAGCTAATATCGAGTCCATAATCTTTTGCTATAATTTGATTATTTTTATAAAACATCATATAATAAACAATCATTTTGAAAATTTCAACCGAATCTTTTAGACTTGTTAGAATACAAATTGTAAAAAAAAGGAATATAAGATTTTCTTATTTATAAATTATGTTAATTTTGCCGGAGTTATGTGAATTGTGATTCAAAACCTTATACATATAGTATGCTTATTTATAGGACAAAGAGGTGCATGTCATATGTATTTAAAATAATCCGAAATTTAATTTGATTACCCCAAATAAAATGTTACTTAATTTAAAATAACATTTTTCGAGTCTGCTAATTTATCTATATATCTAGATATGATGCTTTAAAAGGTATCTAAATAACGTATCGATATAGATACAATTTTCTCAAATGTAATGATAAATTTCAAAACACCAAACTACATATATAAATAAGGTATTTATGTATCACGATACCATAATAACTATGGTCATGAGTTTTTACAATTCACTCACGCAGATAAAGTAGCAAAAAAAATCGATAACGTATATTCCTAAAAGATGTGCCAGTAATTGACTTGTCACTAAAACTAAACTGACTTGAATTTGAGCAACGTCGATCTTATCTTGCAATTCCTGTAACCATTCCTCCTTTTTTTCGTTTGTCATTGATAAATCCCGATTTGGAACTGCTCCATCCGATAATCGCATCTTGTTTCCCTGATTGTCAGTTGTGATTGAGGTTCTAGAGAGAACCAAAGCGTTCGATAAATATTCTATCCTGGTATTGAGGTCTATATCTTGGCTATTGGACAATTTAAAAGTGTAATTTTAGCTTTTAATTAAGACGAGAATTTTAATTGTCTTATTTCGGTCAAATCATATATCAACTTCCTACTTATAAAAACATTTATTTAATATAATTTAAATATTAACTCAACGCGTTCAGCTAACGTATTCAGTACATAAGCGGCCTTTAGATATCGTTTCTGAGCCTGCTGATACTTCCATTTTAATTTTAGCATTTCCGTTACTTCGGTTGGGTTTTTGAAAGAGCCAGGACCTCCCCGATCAGTTACATTGTCAAAATAGGCACCGAGGAAATTTGATTTTGACTATCAACATGTATTGAATTTTTATGAATTAAAATAACTTGGCTTTATTTATTTTTAAAAAACAGATTTAATTTTTAATGTAAAGGGGTAGGATAGACTAAGGAAAGCAAAAGTGAAAGAATGGTATGTATTGTATTTTACAGACGCGATCAATTAGAGTGAGCGTTGTAACCTAACGGGTTCATTTTCGCTTCGTTTTATTTTCAAGAATTTTGAACGCCGCTGATGTATTCATTTTTATTTAACAAATGCGTTTGTTTTTTTTATGTTCATTCAAATTTTAAAAAAATCGGAATTTGTTAAATAAAAGATTTCATTTTCTCACTTAGCTATTTCCTTCAAATATTTTTTAGGCACGTGTTTTTACCTAGTGTTTGAATTATATATAACTTTAAATCTAACGGGTAACATAGCATTATTAAATTTATTTTCAATAAAATATATTCAAGGATATGAATGAACGTTTTCAAGAATTTGAACACAAAAGTATTCAATTTGTCAATGAACGACGAAAACGTGAAAGGATTCGGTTTAAAAAGAATGTCTACAGGACTATTTTATAATTATAATAACTGTATCAAACCTTTATCAAATAATCTGTTAACTTATTTTGAATGAGCCAATCAAAAAAGAGGTAACTAAACAATTCGTCCTCCGATTTAGAACATCTATTAAGAAGGGCTAAAAGCTTTAATTAAAAAAATAATTAATATAGTTTAATCTATGTGTATATATGAACAAATGTATCGACTAAATATTTAGTTACACCAAAAATATCTTATATACCAAAATTTAACAACTTTTGATACGAATTTTAAGTAATGATTATTAATTAATTAATGTTTTCAAAAATTCAAATATATATTTAATATTTTATCACTCCTTCCTTTTTATTTACTAAAAAATGTTTTTTGTTAAAAAAATAAGAAAAAAAATAATAATAAACTTTGATTCTCATCCTATTATATAATGATGACTTATCTCCCTGCCGCCACAGTTCTGTGTCTCTAAGGAATATTTCGCTATCATCTACCAAATTCATTTCGGCCGATTCGTAACCAAAGGATGTGTTATAATCGGCGTTGTTGGTATTGTCATTGACAAAAGTTACAAAGTTATTTTGATTTGGATTGAATTGTAGCCTTTGTTGGTGTTGCTGTTTAATCGGAGAATGTTGAGAAGCGGTGGTGAGTAATTGTTTAAGTGAATTTAGGATGATGGTGTAAGATTTGAGTCTTTAAAAATAAATAAATCGTTTATAAAACGTTAATATTGATTTTTTTTAATCTTAATAAAAAATGTTAAAAAAAGGTTATATTGTGATATTATTTATTATTGGTTTTTTATACCAAATAAACATCCAATTAGTTATGAGGAACGACATAAATGATCACATAAGAAATACCAGTTTAAAATTTTTATTTTTATTAAAATTTCCATTTATTTTAGCTATTTAATATAAGAGTAAAAAAAAATATGATTAACCTTTCTTCAAAATCTGGCGGAAAGTTTTGAGAAGTAAGAGGAGACGTGGTATTATGCAACGATGGTGGGAGACCAGAATATATTTCGTAATAAAACTGATAATCTTTCGAAACGATAGAGTTTAATTTGGTTTGCTCCGTTGAAGGTTTCCTGAAATTATTAGCGTATGCTAAACATAACTCCAATATGCCTTCATTTTTTTAAAAAATGAGTTGGGAATATAATATTAACGCAAGAACTAGATGTCTCAAGGACAAAAAAAGAAAAGAGGCCGTTGAAAATAAAATAGGGAGGCTATTCCATTGTCATTAAATACTCATTTGCTCCTATATTATTAGGGAAATCATATTCATTGAATTCATTCAAGTATTCCTAATATTAAGAATTTGCATTCTTCTCTTATTTATATAAGCTAATTTGTACGATTCATTTTTTTATAGAGATTTTATTGTTTTTTTAACAGAGTTTGCAATGGAAACCATAACCCGAGCAAATCTCAGAACCGGAGATTCTTTTTAAAAAATTCAGAACTGAAAACCTTTATTTTAATAAAGGGTTCAAACACTGATTTAAGGTTATTTTTAATAAAAATTTCTATTTTAATCACATATATATATTTGTATTTAAAAAACCTTTATAAAAATCTAAATTTAGGTATTGATTACAAACGTCAGACAGATTTAGTTGTTTGGGATCAACTCTACAATACAGTCTAAGCGATTCTTTCAAGAACCATAACTTTTGCTCCTTATTTGCTCTGCCCAAACCGGCTTCTGTGGAGGCCGCTATTAGGTATTCGTTAGCCTTAAATATTTTAAATCAATTAATATATATACGCAATGAGTAGGATTAGCTGGATGCATAAATATTAAATCAAACGCCAAATATCATTAACAATTTATGGTAGGCTTTAATTTAAATAAATTTTATAGGTATTGATGTTAAACAGCTAACTCAATATTTTAGCCAAAATATGCCTAAGCCTCGAGATTTCGATATCCTAACCTTTATGCCATGTATGAAATACAATCTTTAGCCTAGCGCAATATTTTAATTGATAGTTAAAAATCGGCTCAAATTAAGCAGTTTAACAAGACTAGTTTTAATAATAAAACGAAATATTATTTCGAAACACTAAGCCGAAATGCAATATTTTGACAATCAATGATTTAATATTTGTTTTTCTTTTCAAAGAGACCTGAAAATATAAATCACATAATGCCTTATTCTCCATTTCGCAAATTAATGTACCTTAGATATCGACGCTTGGTCGGGCCCGTAAAAAGATGGGCAACTTTGTTGTAATCTCTTGACTAAAATGTCGCATTCTTTGTTACTACCGCCATCAAATTCATCTTCGTAAAAATTTTCGTTGTTAGACTCGTTTTTTTTGTTCAAATTGTAAGCGTAATTCAGGAAAGACGATATAACCCGGTTAAGGAGTTGGGAACGAGGTCTGATGATTTGTTGATTGGAAAAATCGGTTTGTCGCGAATGGAAGGGCAGATTATCGATAGGGACCGGGTAAAGTGAAATGGATTGGTGCGAAATCAGCATCGAACTAAAGGTGGAGGCCAATAACTCACCGCTTTCTTCCTAGATTAGTACAAATTCAATAATAAACTATTTCCTTCATCATATATAGAGGGAGGAGCTTTTAATACCTTTTCTTTTTTCTTTCTTGCCTAAGCATACATTTATCTAATTTAATATTGAAAAATGATCATCTTTATTTAATCCATGCTGCCAATCAGTTACTAAAGTAGACCTCAAAATCAATAAGGGAGGGAAATTGTAACTAAAGATATTTGCATCGAACGATCATAAATATAAATGGGAAATAATCAGAATTAGTTTTAAGTATATTATTTGGTACTCATTATATTAGATTTACTCTATTCTTCTCTATTAGTTATATAGGTTAATAGGGCTTACAAGATCAGACTATATGTAGTGTTGAATAGAAGTTGATATTATAGATAAGGGATTAAAGATATTAGTAGAAGCTTAAGTAATTTATCTGTAATGAAATAAATAAGATTAAGAAAATACTAAATAAGCTTAACTTATACAAACCCTTCCCTAATCAAACCCTTATTTAATCGGGTAAGGGCATTTTCTTTCATTTCCCGTAAATATTTGGATAATGAGTTCGTCCTGCTATGCGTAAAAGTAATTGCGGGCTGCCCAAAAAAAGCATATGGACCTCATTATTATTTCCCTTAATTTTTGCTTCTCAATTTGATGGGTTTTTTGAGAGATCGAAGCATTCCTCTGTTATGTATAAAACAAACAATGCTAATCATTAAAAAATTTTTTTAATATAGAGGCAGAAATTTTACATGGAGGGGCAGACCATTCCCCCTCTCCCAGTAATCTGTCCTGCTGTGAATAGTGCTTTTATAGAATAAAATATGTATAAAAAAGGGGATGCGAAATAATTTAAATATTCTAAAAAAAGCGTGCTTTTTAAGACGTCGAAATTTAACGCGGGGTTATGCTTAAAATATTTCCTATCTCCATAAAAACTTGCGCGCTCAAAATTACAATAATTTTAGTGAAGCCAGTTATATCCGTAGATGATAAAAAGTTTTTCAATATTTTTTTAAAAAACGAATTATTGAATTTTTTTTATTAAAAAAAAGAAATTGCTAATAAAAAATAATAATTACCGTTGGAAGGTTTGAAAGAACCTTGGTCAGCATATTATCATGCGAAAAATCGCTCAATAATTTCCATAAAATGGCTAACTCCTTGGCCCTTCTGATAAGGTATAACAATGTATCGCAAAAGGTTTGTTTGACCAAAGAGTATCTGCGGGAATCTTGTAGAAGAGGGGGGAGGGAGAGTTAAGAATTATTATTATTTTTAAAACTTTTAAAATTCCTTGATAACTCGTAACATGCGCCAATGAATAAAAAGAAGGGCTTTGCAAATTTATTAGTTTTTTCGGTCGGTATCTGGCCAGATATTTTAAAATCATATTTATCTATCCCGATTCGGTCTTTACTTTAATTATTAAAAAAGAGGGAAAGAAACTAAGCAAAAATATAAGGCCTTTTACAAAAACTAGCAAAATTAACCAGATTTGGGGAAATAGTTAATTTTGCAGATAGAAATAAAAAACTGGGGATTTTTTTTTGAGAAATATAAATTTTGATATAAATTTACAAGATTAATAAAAAAAACGAATATGATTTAAATCAGAAGATAATAACTTATCCTGACAATTATAGGGTAAAAATTTTTTTAAAAAAATATATTACTTGCCAATATAGTTTAATAGATAGTTTGTGATAAAATATATATAATGCGTTAATCCTACAATATATTTATTACATATGAAAGTTGCAATAAATAGCGAAATCCGATTAATTTATTACTTTATACAAACAAAAGAATTGCTATATGATAAAAACTGATTTTTTAATTATGCAAAAATGTGCAGATTATATTATATTATAGAATCAGTGTAGAGTAAAGTTGATAAGTGAAAGAGTGTTTCATGTCATTCCATTTCAAATGATAAAGAAGTATGAGATTTACAGCCTAGCCCTTTCGATCTCGGTAAAAATTTGTAAAATAATTTCTAGTTAGAATAAAAACGAAATTTTAGCTTGTTAGTAATATATTATCTGTGATAATAAGGGACTTTTACTCTTTTCCGATATTAAGTAATGAATTATTAATTAAAAACATAACCAATTTTGAACATTTAATGTTATATTTGTAAATGTTAAACATAATAAAGGGGGAGGGGGGGGGGGGGGTGAAAAATTTGTTAATGTATAGTCATATTATGCAAAGTAGAAAGTTTCAAAATAATCAATTATTCAAAAAAATATTTTTTTAAGATCAAATAATAAAATAAAAGATTTTATTTCAAAAATTTTATCTTTAAAAAAATGAAAAAATATTTTGCTCAAAAAAATTTTAGGATTTCATCACAAAAGATTTTATTATATTATAAAATTCCCAAAATATTTTCTCAAAGTCATGAAATTTTTTTTATAAAAAACATTTTTTTATTTTGCTCATCTTCTATAAGCATGCTCAAAATTTTAATTTTTTTGATCTTCTTTGGGCGATAAAATTGAAGATTTTTTTTAAACCCTAAATTTTTTTTCTAACATTTTTCTGAATTATTATGAATTCTGTATAGGATGGCGGTATATTTTGAAAATATTTTATTGTAATATAATTGATTAAAAGTAATATTATGTGTATTTTAAGAAAATCTTTATAAAATTTCGAATTTTATCAATATACTTGATATTACTCATAAACCAATTATATTGCTCAAAAATGGGTTTTAAACAATAAAAGTCTTTAAAGGGTTATATATCATTGGCTATATTTTTTGATAAAATTAAGCAGCCGCGCTAATAAACAGTAGGGTAATTATTGCTTATTCTTTTTTTTAAAACAATTTTCAATTTTTTTCTCAAAAATATCGATTATTGACTTATAATATTAGAATTAATGTTTGAACTGATTTAGTTTACAATTAAGGCAAATTTAATTAGGAAAAGGTTTAAAAAAAGGGCTATCTTTGTATATAATTCAAATTATCATAGGTAATATAATCGCTCGTTTATAATCTAACTCACATTTTTATGAAGCGCCCGCAAATTTTTTTGAAATTAAAGAGGTGGGTTGAGAGTTTGATTTGACATAGAATGCAATGCACTCCTTTTAGTTTACGTTATATTTTTTATTCAACAACGGTCATCCCACTAATTTTGTTTAAACAAATGATGCCAGATAAAAAAAGAAGAGATTTTTTTAAAGCGAAACATTATATCTTTTATCACAAAACTAAAAACCAATATGTATTCTTAAGGGTATATAAAATTAAAATTTACCAGGTCCGCATTAATAATATCTTATGGTAAAATACTATTTATTTATATATTATAAAATGTTATCATAAAAATTTGAATTGATTTGTGAGAAAAAAAACTAACGTTAGCATTTTCTTACATTTAAATTCGAACAGAAATCGACTATTCTCAAATTTTGTTATTTTCGATCAATTTGTAATGAGCCAAGTAAAAAAAAGTTAAACCTTTTTCAGGTGTATAGTAAGTATTGGTAGAGAGGGAAAATGCTGACACATTTTTGCGTTTATTTGAATCTTTTTGAAAATTGGAGGAGTTAAATGGAGAAGATTGGTATGCCGCAACGGGGCTTATATCCATTTGTCTTGTTTTAAAGTGATTAAAAAAATTTATATATATATTTTCTTAAATCATATATTACTTCTAAAAAAATTTTTAAAATTCCATTATAAAATTATTCGTACTACCGACTCCTTGCTCAACCAAATTAGTTTAAAATTTTTCCATTGCTTTAATTCGTTTGTTTAAGTGTGCCAAATAAATTTGGTATTTATTTAAATAGTTTAAATTTTTTTTAACGTCCTATTTAGCTAGTATATATTTATTTAACTAAATTAATAAATATATATATTATATCAAATCAATGGATAAAAATATAATTAGAAATAATGATATTTGAAAGATTTTATCCGCATTTTTGAAAGAAGATAGAGAAATTGTCTCGATTCGTATTCATGATTTTATCGGCCTAGATGCTTTAAAAATGTATAAATTAGGGGAGAAAAATGTCCGAATGTAAATCAAACGATGAGTAAATAAGTAGTTTCTTAGTTTTATGAATTTTTTTAAGCCTTCTTATTACGACTTTTAGGAGGGAAATTCTCTGGAAGATCGAGGATAATGTGGTCAGATGAATTGTGTACAATCCTCATGGGAGTTAGGCAAATATCTTATTTAGGATTTCCCCTGTGTCTCCTCTTTCTTAACAGACAAATATTCTAATCCTTTAATAGCAAACAAAACAAAGAAAATAAAAAAATATTTATCAAGCTATATATTCACTCCAATCTTATTAAAAGACATTTTTCTCCTTTAAGAAATTTTTCAAACTTTTATGCTCAAAAAACGGCATCACATCAAATTGGCATTATGATAAATGGACACGGCGACAATTCTGCCGATCAAATTAAGCGGTAAATCATCATTATTAATATAAAAACAAATTGACATTTATATGTCATCAAATTAAAGAGTGTTTTGAAGAGTGAATGTAGGTGCTATTAATTGAATCCTGGGAAAAAAGACACCGGATAAAAATACCCCAATTATATTTTTTAAATGCTAAGAAATAGGGGAAAATTTTAAAAAATATTATTGATTTTTTCCACAAATAAGTTTCGTTCTTTACTTAAAAACTAAATTTTTAAAAAATTTACAACCACACACATATATGGAGTATTGGAAAAATATGTAGATGATTTGCTATGCGGTTCATGGCAAGACCTGGTGTGGGTTAGGGTCAATCTAAGTATAAAAGTAAATTACGAGAAGCACTTCATTTTATTAGAAACTAAACCCATTACATTTGATAATCTAATAAATACCTAATGGCTGCGGTATAATTTTTAAATAAATAGCCAAACTGTTTTATCACAGCACCAAGTTTTCCGTAAAATTGACGTGTAACCCCAAAACAAGATATTTACTTATGAACCAAGGGAATTTCTCTTTATAAGGCAAAAAATGCAAATCGTTATGTTCAAATATACTATGACTTCTTTTTGGAAAAAAAATAGTTGGCAATTATATTTTAGCTTTTTATAATAAGATTTTTATCTTATTTATGTTTGGTTTTTATGTTTTTAAAAGAAAATTCTTTTTATTATAGTTTTTATAATGTGGTTACACGATAATTTACTTAATAAATCAAATGTAAACAACAAAAAAAAATGTTGTATAATTTTAAGTAAAAAAAAATTAGAATCTATCGATACGCAGGTAAAAACAACATTATAGATAGATAAAAAAAAATAGAGGATGCAATGAAGACTTAAATTTAAAAAGACAGCAAAATAATTGCTTAAAGAAGAGGAAAAAACAATCTCTTCGTCTAGAATAATTTTCAAAAGAATTATACGTGAACCCAAATGCATGTGTAATTGAATAATTTAATGAGAATAAAAGAATCACCCGGAGTTGCAATTTTGAGACCACTTCGAGCTCCGAATTCGGTATCAACCCCAAAATGACCGTTTACAGAGAAGTATAAATGAGTTACCCTGATGCAAGAGAAGGAAATAACCCCTAACCCCCTAAACAAAATCATAGAATATTGTTCTATTCATGAAACGAAAGGAAAGCGAAACTTAAATAGTTTGAGAATATTAAATAAACATATAAATAAGGGACAAAATAATGATACAATGTTGCCTCGTCAAATTTTTATCCCCTTTATCGTTTTAATTACTAAAAAAATATTTTTAAAAAAATTCAAACCACATTTTTATCATTACATGAAAAAAAAATCCGAAATTTAGTTAACAGAAATTGGTTACAATAGTAAGGTTTCTTTGACATAGGCATTTAATAAAATTAATTAAAATTCGAGTAAAAAATTTGTAGCAAGTTTGGCTGAGCTAAAAGGGGGTAGAAAAGAAAAAACGTTTTATTGTTTTTAAAAGTACTTAAAATCGTATTTATTTTAATTCATAAATATGATTTAGGGAATATAATCTTTAAAAACCAACATTCATACTTATTAAATGAGGCATCTTGGTGAATGGAGAAAGATTTTCCAAAATTGGTATCATTTTTTTCATCTATCCCAACTTGACTGCCGGCTTCGTTCAATAAATCCGTGAGAAACTGTGCTTTATAGGTTTCGCAAAATTTGAGTAACCCATCCAATCTTTCGGCCAGCACGGTAAAATCGGCGGTCGTGAACAAGGGGAAAATTATTTTGAAACTCGTGTTAGGATTTGAATTTAGATTCGGATTCAAATCGTTAGAACTTTCGTAGTTGGTGAATGGGACTAATAATTTAGATGTCTTGGCTTGTTCTTGAGTGAGCCCAATTAAGGCAATAGTATCTATCAAGCTTATACAAATGGGTGAATTCCATACTGGTCTATAATATTATTTTTTTTTTTAATAAAGAGAAATTATTAGAGATATTGTATATATCTAAAATAATAAAAGTATGTTTTAAATTTATTATTTATAATTTGGATTTAAAAATATATCGAACAAATTTGCAACAAAAAAATATTTGTGATAATATTTTTTTTTATAAAAAAGATAAATTTTATCATCCCATTAAAATTATAAAAAATTGTATAAAACTAAATAAAAAATTTAAAAATCTAAATATATTAGGGCATGAGATCCAAACGAGCCATCTATGTGTATAAAACCACTAGAATAAACAGTAGGTTGTTCTCGTGATGGAGTTTAGTTTTGGATAATTTTTTTAAAATATATTGAGACATCCTCTATTTAATAGCCGTAAAAAAAATTAATTGAGAATCAAAATGCTATTTTTAGGTTCCCCTGATCAAATCATATTCAATTTTGTGGTCATGCTCTTTCTAGCTCAAGTAGTCTCATGGCAAAATTAAAATAATTTTTAAAAAAGTGTCACTCATGATTGACTCAAAAAATTGTCCACCCAAGCTGGATCTCCATCCTGCAAAAGATATAAATCTGAGATCAGATCTGTAGAGATCAAAATTTTAGACCCAGCCAGGTTCGGATTTTAATTTTTTTAAATCATTTTACGCTACTGCCAAAAATTTTTAAAATTTCGCTATTTTGAATAATTTGCAAACTGCTTCAAAAGGGAAATTGAAAATATGAATAGTAATTGAATATTAAACGCTCTATTATATGATTTTCCAAATGAGTACCTTATGGGTAATTAGTGCCTTAGGGGTAGATTATAAATTACTTAATTTAAGAAGAAAAAAAATTAAATTGGCCTGGATTTAAAATTTTTAAGCTCAGCCATTTTGGGCTCGTTCAATTGAATGTACAATATGTGTAATAGTGCTAATACAACAAAAATTAACTTAATTTTTAATACTTTATTTTAACGATTATGTTTTGTATCAGTAAAGAAAATTATGTCAAAGCCTGATCCATTAAAAAATGAGCAACTCCCGAGCCCATGAAAATAGTGAATTTTTAAAAATCGTCTTTTGACTCCGTCAATGCAAGTCACTTGTCCTTAAGGTTCCCTTCCAATCTTTAAAATAAAGTGCTTCAAAAAATATTTTTGAGTACGTCTTTATGTAAATGATGATAAGAACCGTTTTATAATCTTTTACATATAAAACTTTAAATAGTTTTTTAATTAAGTTAGCGTGACGCGATTTTATTATATGGTTCTCAGGATAGATCAGCATTAGTTACTGGTTGCAGATCGCAATTTTGGTTTTATAGTTTAAAAATATGTTTTTTTTTTCTTTTCCTATTTTAAGTGTTTTTTTACATCCCTTAGTAGAACCCTATAATCAAGTGAAGAATAACAAAAAAAAATTTAAATTACAATTAAACCTCACAATTCTCCAAAAGTACCTAAATACAGCTTCTTGAATGGGAGTTATGGGCAAAGGATATTGCATTAATGGTTCGACAACGTTTCGAAAATTGACACCATGACGTGATGAGGGGAAAAAATTTGTATTACTATTATTAAGATTTTCGGCATATCTAAACTTCTTGTTAGGACTTTCGTATTCGGACAAAGGTTTCGGGTCTAGATATTTTAGTTTTTGTTATTGTAAAATTTTTGTTTAGGCATGGGTTTATGATGGTTTTTGTTATTTTGGATAAATTAAAAACTAATCTTAATATTGTTAAATTTAAGTTAGCAATTACTCTATTCATTGGCGATTTTTTAGGAGAAAATTTTATTCAAAATAATATATTTAAAAACCGTTAAAATATAAGTAAAATAGGCATTTCTTATATGGTGATACCCCGTCCTAGCTTCTGAAATGAGGTATAAATTTTCTCGCCGAATTTGTGAATTAATGTCATTTAACGCAAATTAATTACTGATTTTAGTAAGAATCTTGGAAGATAATTTAGAGATAATTTCATTGAACTAAGATGGGGTATAACAATTTAACACATTCATTATTAACTTACATAAGTCTTTATTTCTATAATCGCTATAATTTTCTCCTACGTAAGTACGACCATTTTGAAAAGTTTTGGGAACACCTCCCAAGTAAGATACATCACTGATATTTTTCTTATCCACGAATTTGGGAGTAGTGTGAGGAGTAGAAGAAAAAAAATCTTTAATTTTGTTCTCCTTTTTCGCAGATGCGTTAGGATGTGTGGCGTTTTGGAGGATATTGTAAGTGTTTAAAAACTGAAGAGTCCATTCTAAAATCTAAATAAATGAGTCATACAAAATGGGTTTTAAAAAAGGTATAATTAACCAATCCAATGGCGTCAAAATTTAGTGATATGAAGCCCGTCCTATAATATTTTATATTTAAGGACATTTCTTTAAAATTAAGAGCACGCCATGGGTTGATCACCATATAATGATATTTATTTAAAAATATTAATGATGAAGAAAGGAAACTTGTTGTTCTCCGGGACCCGTTGTGCACAATAGATGCAAGCAATTAACTAGAGCTAGGCTATAATCATAATTTCCGTGCATCGTGAGGGATAGATTTTGAACGTACGATAAAATTTGCTGACAATTCACGGTTCCGTTATTTATTGTAAGTAGGGCTTTCAGAAAATCAGTTGGGTCAGCGATTTCGAAAGAAAATACTTTCTATATTGAAAAGGTTGTGGAATAAGGTTTTTTTTTTATAAAAAAAAATTAATTTATTTTCAGTTTTTATTTTTTATAGAAACGCTAGAAACTTTAAAAGTATTTTCACTTACAAAATGAATAATCCTCTAAATTAAATTGTTCAAGAAAAATAAAAACTGATTAATATATAGACGCCCCTTTTCGGAAAAATATTTATACACTTTCCAAATCATTTTTTTTTCAGTTTTGAGAATGAAACTGACCGCGTCCAGGCCGATTTTTTTAAAAAAATATAAAAGAAGAGTTTAGTAATGTCTTCAAATTATATTTGAAGGTGGTATTATTTCTAAAAAATCGTTTTTATATATTAAATAAAATGTCCGGAAATTGAAAAAACCAAAAAAAAATTTTTTTTATCTAAAAGTATAATCTTTGTATATGTAATTTTGATATTAAATTTGTTATCTACAATTAAGTAGCTTAATTGAATGAAGGCAGATAATGGTAAAAAAACGTAATTTTTGCCAGTTTGAGCAATAATATCCAAAAATATAAATGTTACGAGGCTAAAATTTTGGCCATTTCTTAATTACATTAACCTTTCTTTGCTTACCATATTTCAAAAAATCGAGGTCGATCAAAAATCTCATTTTTTTGCACATTTGACATGGGATGACCCGGTTATAGGCACAACTTTAAAATATATTCTAATTTTAAATAAATTTTCACCCCTAATCTTGGTTTAAGGATTTTTCACTGCGAAATATAAGCCAATGCAAAAAATGCAATATTTAATTCAAAATAATTAGCATTTTATTTAAAACCTGAGAAGTAATACAAACAAAACGCTTAGGATCTCTATAAATTTCCTGGTATGCCCTGGGAGGGTTAGTCTTGCACGAGTATTGAAAACTTTCGTCATTAAACGGAGAATTTTCGTTGAACAACCGTATTTTGAGCTTCCTTTGAAACGCGCTCGTGAAGTTTTGGCAAGCTTGATTGATTACGTTAGCGGAATCTTGAATTGTTTGGTGTTGACGAGTAGGTTTAGGCGATCGCCGAATAAAAGGACGATTGAGGGAAAAAGCTTTGAATTCGTAGTAAGGAAGTTTGACTTTTTGCAGACACCACATCTTCCCGTCAATCGAGATGTTTGACTTAAAATTTTTAGGCGCAGGAAGAAAAATTATGTTTAAGAAACTCTCTTTTTTTCTTTTGTTCACTGAGTTTATTATTAAAAAAACGAATTTATGATAAAGATCATATATAAACCAATTATTATTATAAAAATAGGGCGCTTATATATAAATTTTAAAAATATTTACTTTAAAAAAAAGAGGTTAAGAATAATCATTCTGGTGACGGCCATGAATATTTAAATAATTTTAAAATGTCATGTAAAATTTCCAATTTTGTTTGACCAAAAGGGCCCTTGAGATTGCTTAGGACCTTTTTGGCTAATTAATTTGATTAGGGTTTTAACCTCCCCATATAATTAGTTTGTTGATATCACAATGGGTAAGTAGATATTGTTGTAGGCTAGATGTGCATATTTTTGGGATTTCCTTTTCACTAATACCTAATGGATCGTAATTATTATTAGACGGGGCAAAAATGTCAATAATGTGTTTCCCTATATCCCAGGGGATTAATGTATGCCTATTAGGTCACGCGGTATTAATAATGGAAGTATCTCGCGATTCGAGATAGGAACAGCTGCTTTAAACATTTTGGATGATTTTATCTATTTTCTCGTGCCTTACAATGGAGTGAGTGTCATACTTTAGAATCAAGGAATTTATTATCTCGATAAATACATCCTACACCATCAAGACCACATGCGGAGTCAATTTGGATTAAATTGATTGCTCTGGAAACTTCTACACTTGTAAATTTAATGAAGTCTTTTAAATTAGGTACTAACTTGGAGGATGTTTGGCTAATATCCCTTTGTAAGCTTCACCTGAGTCTGGTACAACAATATCGTTATTGGGAAAACATCGTAAATCTCCTTTCATGTTAGTTTTTTTTTATATGAAGGAAGCTAAAGTATGATCACTGAATTCTGTTTTATTTTCACCAGTATATTCAATGTGATACATGTGTATTTTATTATTAAAAAATTTAAAATGTTATCTATGATAGATTTAGATGTGAGACTTTCTTTGCTTTCTGGGACCGTAAGGATGTGAAAAGTAAAATGGAATAGCCTTTTCCATAATAAAAAATGATTGCAAGCTTGTAAAATTGATTTGATAAGATTTACCAATCGAAGGATACCGCTAATCTGGCTCCCCTAGGTATTTTAGGGGAATCTTTATCTATGAATAATGTGTTAGCCTATGAATGATATAGATCATTAAAAAATTTAAATTTTGAATTATTTGTTATTGCAGAATCATATTGAATATTAAATTATCAGGAAAGTTGGAAATTATAAAAGTCATTAGATGGTGATGCTACTGTAATTTGGATACTGGACATCTAGACAATGTTGGACCATGGAGACTAAATTTATTCTCTTTATTTATACAGTAAAGTTTAAAGCAATATGATCCTATATTATTTTTCATGGTAAATGCCCTAATTTTTGAATTAATATCATTTGATAAAATAACCTTGTGTTAATACTCCTAAAGATTGTTGATTAAAAAAACTTATAAAAACTCTAATTTAGACCTGTTATGTGGGATAGCTACAGGCTTCAAGTAGTATACTACCTTCCAAATTGAAAATATCCACTAACATTGAACAGGAAAATCAAAATACTAATTTAACATATTTATCTAATGATTTTTAATAATTTTATAATTTTCCTGATAATATTAATACTCAATATGATTATGCAATAGCAAAAAATTAAAAAATTTTTTTTAATGATCTATATCATTCATGTTGGATAAAGATTGCCCCCCCCCCAACATTATCAAAAATACCCTGGGGATGCAGATAAGCAATAGTACTTCATGGTATACATTAACAAATCAATTTCATAAGATCGCATTTGTTTGTTTCTTTCTTTCTTTTCTTCCTATTTATATTCACTATCGGTAAAAATAGAGATGGAAAATAGCAAAGTATATATTTAACAAAAGAGACAGCTAATCTAAGTATTAAGCATGTGGACTTTGAGATTTTGAAATGTAGGTTAGAATTATTGTAAAAAGAATATTTCTTTAAAAGTTAAAGCATTGAGCTAGGTAAACTAAATTTTGAAATGCGCCTTTTAGCCATTGTAAAGCTTTACATTTGGCAAAAGATGTATTTGGACGATATTTTTTAAAAACCGATCTGATAATTGTTATTATTTTATGATTGTATATAATCATATAATTTTTTTTTGTAAATAATTTCATAATAATAATATTTGATATAACGTTTAAAAAAATAATTAAAAAATTTATACTGTTTTTTGTTAAATATCTGTAACAAGAACAAAATCTTAAAATATCTGAGCCATAATCAGATAGTGTTGATAAACGGATCGATATAACCAATTTTTAAAAATGTTTAGCTCAAGATTTTTACCATTGGACTTCTATTGACGAAATTTCGAGTCTTAGGTAATAATATTTTGGCGAAAGCCATGATTTAGTCCTTTTTAAAAATCGGCTAAATTTAGTTGTTTAACAATACTACATTCACTCATAAACATTGTAAATATTTAAAATGAGTTTATTAACTTTTGAATAAAAAAAATTATACATTTAATCATTCGTGAAAGTTAGAAAATCATAATATTTTTATGACATTGAAAAGATAGATTGTAAATAAGAATCAATATATCGGATATATTTAGTAATAGATAGGTGAAAAAATTGGATCGGTACAACCCTAGCCATTATGAACACCTTTTTACATTTGTCAAACTAAGGGTTTCGTTACATAGAAGTAGCTCACCTACCTAACAGATTTCGGATAATTAGGTCATACCAAAAAAATTATAAGGTACGCAAAATGTATATGTATAAGTTTACAATTGAGCAGCAGCGTTTAGCATTATTTCTCTATAACTATTAGTTCTTTGAATCGAAGCAGTTTTTTCTAATCATTGAAGAAACATAATATTTAAAAAAAACGTTTATTAATTTGTACGTTATCATTTAAAATACGTTATAAGAAATAAAACAAAGAAAGATAACGTTTTAAACTGTAAGCACGGTAAGGCAGATTTTTTGGCCATAATTTCACATAATATTAAAAATGCGGGATCCCTATCGACCAAAACCTGTAGGTAGTGTTGTTAAGCGGTTCGATTTTCAAAAACATCTAACCCAATTTTAGCCAAAAAATATTACTTTAGCATGGAGATTTTGCTCATAGATGGTATTAAGGAAATTTCTAGTCTTATGTAATCTTATTTTGGCTGAAATCTTATTTTAAAATCGGCAAAATCGAGCAGTTTAGAAATACTATGACTTGTTAATCAAGGGGGGGGGATTAAAAAAAAATCATATAAGCCTTTTCCAATCATAGAAGAAGCCAATTTAATGACCCCTCTTTCTTTACTAATCATGAACCCAATACAAGTTTACCGTTGTCAGCTAAATTATAAAAATTGTTTTCTCCCTTTGTTCCGAATTAATGAAATACAGTTAAACCCTCATTCATATATTAAATAAAATACTTCCTTATGAAAAAAAGTAGTTGCTATACAAGAAACAATTAATAAATATTATTTTTAAAAATAGTTTTTAGTCATTATTCTTGTTTTATACTTAATTATCGATGTATAAATATTAAAATAAAACAATCATAAATTTTCGTCCTCATTCCTTGATCTAAATTTTTAAAAAATAATTTCTATTTCCTTGAATTTAAGTATTTTCATAACAGCATTAAGCTACTAATTTACAGGTTAAAAAACGCTATGTAATTTGTGAACGATTTTAAAATGTCACCAAGATCTAATAACGAAATATATTTTAAAAGGCATTATTACCAGTTTCTACTTACTACTTATTTATTATGATTCACGAATGATGATACACTTTTATAACAGTAGATCCTTTAATTCTAATAATTTTTCCTTCTAATTTTTAAATCAATAAAACTTTAACTATGAAATTAATAGTCGGTGGAATAAATAAATAAATTTATAATAATATTTAAAATAAGACTAATAGAAGAAAAACCTGAGATTCCATTAAGTGTTGCCTAAAAGGGAAATTGTCATTGTTGCAAATCCATAATAAATCGGATATCTCATTTGGTGATGAAACCATGAGATTTGTACCTTTATAGAAAATATATTATCAGATTATATTTTATTATAAATATTTATTAGTCTAAGATTTTTTTTTGATTAGTTAAAATCCTCCAATCATTGGAGATATATGATGGTAACAAAGTTCTAAGTTTTTATTAAGAATATTATGTCAATTGTACATATATCAAGATGAAGATGATTTAACCTGCCAAGGCCATCTGAAATATTTTTTATACCAAAAGAAAATTAAGAGTATAAAGTCTACACTTTGTAAAATTGTGTCCCAACTCAAATATATCCTCAATTGTGTAGACATGGGCAGTCTCAAAACTGTGCAGGCCTTTTTAAGGAAAAAATGAGAAGATATCTGATTAAATCGGTTATAACAAGATTGAACTCTTTTTATAACTCCGTGAAATTAATAGTCTTATTAAGGAGTATGACCAATTTGACGAATCTTGGGACAAATCCGAAATGTTAAATCATTCTTTAATATATTATATGGTTGTGTTAATGAAAAAATATGACATGTATATAATATATGATTTTATAAGTTATGGAACCTTTTACACGGCTATTTCGATTTTAGAACATTTAGGATATCTCACTCCCACGATAACTATTATAAAATTAAAACTTAAAAAAAATTGTTTAAATAATTTTAAGTTTTATAACAACTTATTAATACAATCCTGAAAGACATAAATGAAAGGTATACAGTTGAAATATTGTTTACAATTTATATTTTGATTATATATATTTTCAAGAGATTCCAACACATCTATAAAGATGATTATTATAAGCAATAATTCAGTCGCTATTTATTGAATCGGCCCTGGATAAAATTAGAGGTCAACGAAGGTAGAAAGCTTAAACTTATTTCCAGTTTGAAAAAATATCTAAAAAACCACATACTGATTATTTTCTGATAAAGATAAAAAAAAAATTTGATGAGGATCTGAATGAAGATTCTTTAGAAGATGATCTATTAAGTTTTTTCCAAAATAAGGATTATTCTTTAATTTTTAATAATTTATCCCAATTAAAATTTTAATTTAATAATACAACCCTCCCATCCTCTGCGCCAGTTGTTATAACGGCGATTGATGAACACTCTCTTGTTTATCTGATTAAAATTTTGAAAATCAATTGTTAAAAATAAATAAAAAATTATTGTAAAAATATCTTATCTTATAATATATAATTTTTGTATATAATATATAGGAAATTTTTGTACATATTTAATTTTTCAAGTAATGAGTAACGCGTTTCTTTTTTGAAGTGACGTTTACTGCACTAATTAAAAAGGATCTTATTTTTATAAGTTACATTAGCATATTAAATACAGAAAAATAAAAAAGCATTATTATTTTTTATATCGAGCAATCATTTTTAAAAAAAATTCTAAATAAGTTCTCAACATTAACAGTATAGTCAGCGAAAACTGTTGATTTATATTTTTCTAATAGGTTAAATCAAAAATGAATAATATAATTCTACAAATCATACAGCCCTAAACCATATCAGGTGCCTATAGTAGCCCATACAAACCTAGTTTCATTTTAAACAAATAATGCTATGTTAACAATTGTATATTATTTGTTTAGAATTTGAATTTTTTTAATGGATAAAAAAGGGCTCAATATTTCGATTTCAAAAGAAAAATCAAATACTTTTTGACAACAAAGCGCTGAAAACATTGTTAGGCCTTTTGTTGATTCCTTTACTTGGATTAAATGAGTTATAATTAATGAACGAAGATGTGGCGGTTGGATTTAATGTCGATGGTTGGTACATATTGGAAGGTGTAGGATTCGAATAACTAGGCGGGAATCTTAAATGAATCAATTTAAGCATGAAAGGACAGGTGTCGGGTTCCGTATCGTAAGAACGAGTGCTAAAATAGTACCGAAAGCCTATAAATATAAAGTAATTGAATGGAGGTAAAATGAAGGAACCCGTGGATATCAAATAACATGGTGGCTCATTTCACATATGCAATTAATATTAATTGATTTATTATAAATTCACGATTCAGTCTATTTTAACTCTTAAGGTATAATTAAAAAAATAGATTGCTTATCTTATAATTATATGTGTAAAAAATTAAATCCTCGCAAGTTGAGTCAAAGCCAGGTTCGGATCTAAATCCCTTAATCGGAAATTCTAAAAAATAGAATAGAAATGTAAGATCTTTTTTAAAAATCAAAACGATAATTATAATTTCTCTGTGATTAATACAAAGCAGTAAGTGATTTTTCTTTATCATGTTTAACATTTATAAATGTGTTTAATTTATATTTTCAAATTATTTCGGGTTTAAAAATATATAAAAAGTAACGGGTTCGGCTCCATTAATTGAATTTGCAAGGCTCTAGAAAGGATAATAATTATAAAAAAAATAGAATAATTTTATATAACCTGTGGAAGTAAAAGCGATCAAATGTAAGATTTTGGATTGAGTAACGCTTATGGGCGCTATAGATACGATCTTTCCAAAATTGTCCCTTTCAACTAATCTTAATAATTTAATTTTAAAAAAATAGTTTAGTTCTTAATGATCTGAGCGTCTTACCTATTTTGAACAATATTATAAGTTATGAAAACGACCTAATCTTGTTATATCAATCACTTTTTTTTAATTTTAAGCATTTTAAAAAAAATGAATGGGTCAGTGTGACTTCAAATTTGACAATTTAAAAAAAATTATAAATATGAATTTTAATGTATAAATATGCTATCTTTATGAGTTCATGTAACTCATTCTTAGAAAGTTACTTTCGAAAAGTAACTAACCCCAAATACCCTTCTCAAAAGTAGAGAGCTATATTTACGGTTTCTATAATAAATGATCTATAACTATTACCCGAGCTTTAATATAATTTTTTATTATACAATACAGATTTGCAAAATAAAATTATTTACAGTATATAATATTTATATAGCACAACGTTTATTTGTATAAAAAATTTTGGATACAATAAATGTTTATTAATGATAAAATATTATTTTCAAAATTACAATCAAACAGTGCGTTTTTTCCTAGGTTTATCTAAAGTAAATAATCTTTATACTGGGAAACTTGTTAGAGGTGTGGCTAAATATCTGTGGAAAATTGATTCAGGATAAAGAAATCTTCAACGAGAATTTTAAGATTTTTTCCCGTGATCTTTGATGATCAACAAATTTAGAATTTTAAGCAAAATATCATAAAATCTTGCTAGAGCATACTCAAAAATGATCCTCAAAAATCTTGAGTTTTTTATGGTATTCTGGTATTTTTAATGGACATAAAAGGCATTCAAGAATGCTGCCTGTGCCATAAAAAAATTTAATCGTTGACTAAGATTATTTCGGGAAAAATTATATTAAAAAAAATTCTAGGAATTGAAAGAATATGCCCAAATTATGGAAGAAAATTCCCAAAACAAAGTAAATTTAATTTGACGATCCCAATGACATCCTCTGAACGGAAGATTGAAATACGTTATATTCCAAAAAATTGTAGCTAGATATAAAGATCAAAGTTAGTTATCTAGATTTAACTAATTAATTCTCCCCCCCCCCTTAATAACTACATATTTATTTACAGTCAGTATTTTATAAAGATTGTAATTTTTTTTTAAATATTTTTTTTTTATAAAATAGATATGTACACAAATAATAAATATTCCTGAAATAAAAATTAAACATTATGTAAGGTAATAGAAATAGGTTAAAATATCAAAAAATTATAAGGTAAACGGTTCATATAAATTGTTAAAAAAATACTGTTAATTATTAATATAGTTGGGTGATTACTATATTTCCTTAAACCAATTTTTAACCGGCTAAACCAAGTTTTTAGCTGAAAACTATCACTTTGGCCTCGGGGTTTTTCTTTTCTAAAAGAAATAGCAGTTCAAATTTGGAAAAACTAATATAAATTAAAACGTCTTAAGGTAAACGGATTTTCTTCGAAAGGTTCCTGAAGATTTAGCGAATTAGCCGACATTTAGCCGTTACCCAACTATAGTTATTAGTAAGCGTTAATTGACAAATTTTGAAACAAGTGGTATATAAAGAAAATTCAAAGCTTACTTAGTTATAGCGATAGCTCTATTATGAGTTTCCTCGTGATTAATCGTTATTATATGGGATGCTTCGTTACCATCGAGGCCCAAGTAGAACAGCTGTTAAGTGTTTTTTTTGGTTTGTGTCATTAGTAGTATTATATCATATTTTTATAAGCGACATTAGTAATAATAATAATAGGTTAAATTAATCATAAAAAAACCTATAATCGTTTATAACGAATTATAGGAAATGCATAGGCGTTATAAGTCGATTTTCGAAAAATATTTATTAAACATGTATATATATGAGAGACATACAGAGGTACTATTTGCACGGCCCGGATATAATTTATAAAAAGGCCAGGCCCGGATATTTTTATATATATTATATTTATTTTTAATATTTAAAGATTATGGTGATTTAAAATATACGGCCCGGCGAAAAAAAATTTCAGGCCCGGTCCGGGTATTTGAAAAAAAAATACAGGCTTGACTGGGCCCAAGTATATTTAAAAAAATTAAAATACCCGGGCCTACAGGTATATATAGAAAGAAGTTGGTTCAATAATAACTGACTTGAATATCGCCACGTTCTGATAAGACATATAAATTATTTCTATTTTCATCAACAGTTATTTGTACCAATGGATCTAGAACAAACATAAAATAATTATATATTTAAAATGAAAAGGTATTCAAATAAAATACAGAAAGAATTCACGATTTTTGTTAATGATTCCTTTTTACTTTTATATTATAGCTATATGAATAATGCCTCTGAAACGGCGGCGTTACTAGGTCCTTATTGTCGGGTCGTGGTTTCGAATTCAGGTTCAAAAATTTTAAATTGTTTGGTCAGACATTTTGGGAACACGGAACAAAGAGGGGCAGATTTGTGGAGAGAACCTAATACACCTGATGTATATCCCGACCTTGGCGGCGAGCCTCGGTTCCGATTAAAATTTTTAACAACCAAAATTGTCCGCTATAGTCGATAAAATTTCAGATTCTGAATTCGAGTTCAAAGCCCTGTTGAAAAGTTAATTCTTTTGAATCATAATGTGCTCAAAAAATAACCTTATTAGTAATAATAGAAAATATTATAAGCGTGCCGTTTTCCGATCAAATTTATATTCGCCTGAGAGTGCTTTGACTACTATGCTCGGTCGATAAATAGTTTGATAATAAAAAAACTCATAAAACTTATTCCTTATAATGTGTGTTCTTGGTGAAAACGTGCAGAGGAGATAAAGAGGTTTTCCATCTTTAAACGAATGCCGAAAAATGGAGTTTTGGAACAAACCCTCTCTAGCCAACAAGATATCTCAATAATATAATAATCTCATTCTGGCCCACAACGGGTCATAACATAAGTAGATTCTTTTAGTTTTAATATTTACTGTTCGAATGTTGTAAACATTGGTGCTTATTAAAAGTATCGGCAGATACTTTATATTTTACTCGATACAGTTTGACAGATACTCAAGACGATAATTAATATTTTTCTAGCATTCTACTATTTCCTCCATATCTTTATACCAATGCAATAATTCGATCGCATAAATGACACCGTGCTTATTAAAAGTATCGGCAGATACTTTATATTTTACTCGATATAGTTTGACAGATACTCAAGACGATAATTAATTTTTTTCTAGCATTCTACTATTTCCTCCATATCTTTATACCAATGCAATAATTCGATCGCATAAATGACACCAAATTGAAGCGGGAGTAAAACAATTTTCTTTAAAATTATACAATAACAATTTTCATTAAAATTATAAATTGGTGATATGTAACTTTTATAAACCTAGGGTCTGACAGTATAGCTAATACCTGTAAAAATATATAAAATAAATTAAATACGCAAATAATAATACTAATATCGTTCAGTAATTGAAGATCTGATATAATTTGTAACGCAAATTTTCTTCGAAAAAAGGATATATCAACGTAATGCAGAATTAAGTCATTACAGTTAATGCTTCTTTATTCTATTTATAAAGATAATAGGATCTTTGTTGGTTCCATTCACACTTTCTAGCATCATTAAAATGTTACATGCCAATGTGGAGGCATATTTAGTTTTATATATGTTGTTGTTTATTTTTGCATTTAAAGTATCAATTATCACATTACACCCAAAAATTCTTAAAAGTATGGATTGATATTAAAGTGGTGTCTATTCTGTAAATTTCATATTTTGAGAATCAATTACTTCTTCTATATCCAAAGTTTTAACACAACAATTATTCCTCAGATTCGTTTAATATTTTTCAATTCTACAATAATACCTTTTTTATTCCATCCACTGTGACAGATAAGATAAAATAATCCATGCCCCAAACATAGGTAATACTCATATTAACCAGACATTTATCCTGATATTAAATCTCATTCATGACCAATGAAAATTTCTTAAACCTTAAATTAATTGATTTGGGGTTTTAAGGGAATTATAACATATATAAAATTATATTAAATTCAACTAAACTGATTTAGCTTGTTTGTTAATTTTAATGTAAATAATTTTTTAAATCAAAACCTTTATTTTTAAAATCAATTTTTAATTTTATATATATAATACTAATTTATAATGGTTAACAAATAAATTGTAATTTACAAATATAATGATAGTAAAAATAAAATTTTCTTATGCCTCGCCACTGTTCGGTTTCATAGATTTGCCAAAAGTCTGGTGGTGGCAATGTGGTAGCACACTGGTCTATATAAATATAAATTATTATTTTTGGTATTGCCGATACTATGTTAATATCGGTTTTGGGCATCTATATTGACCCAAAAAGTTGTATCAGCATTTCTAACATGTAAACAGTCATATACTTCAGTCTGGGGCTCTATCAAAGCCACCGTGTTTAATTTAAAAAGAAATATTTTATAATATAATTAGGTTTATGGTTATATTTATGATAGGAAAAAAATTAAATGAAATTTATTTAACCAGGGTTTGTGAAAATATTTCTGATATTTGGTAAAATAAAGGACGACAGTTTTCCCCTAGAATGATTGATAAGCCATGCTCGTTTGCCTAGCCAATTTTTATGTAGCTGAAAATAAAAAAATAATGATTTTTTTTTAAAATATAACATTATTTTTAACACACACTATCTAGAGTTTTTAATTTATATCTATTTAACCAATATTCTGAAATAATTTTCTTAAAGTTTAAATTAATTTCAAGATTAACCCACTAAAAATCATTATATTAAATTTATTCTATACATAATTTATAATCAAATATTTTTATTTGAAAATAAAAGCTAATATATGTTAAATGTACAATCAAACAAAAAGGTAAATTAAATTATGTGACCCTATATTTCATAAACAAATAGTTTAATATTTAAGAGAAACAAGGGAATGGGTTTAAACACAATACATAACATAAATTTTTATAATTTTAGATAGAAATATATTTCATAATGATATTTTTTAATGCAAATATTTAATGGAACTAATATTATATATTAGCATACAATATATTTATAACAAGTTATATTAACTTTTATAAAATAAACATGATAGCTCAAAATATCAGTATTTATTTGAAGAACAATATTTTTTTAGAGATCTTCAATCTATATCTCCTTAAATTTAACTATTAATTAAAATAATATTTTAAAGTTGTTCCAATAAAAAATTAGTTTCAAGATCCAACCACTAAAAATTATTGTAATAATTAAATTTATCATATACATCATGAATAATCAAATATTTTTATTTAAAAATGCTTATATTTATTAAAGGTATAATCAACAAAAATTAATTTAAATCAATTTGATTAAATAATGCCAACCCTACATTTCATAACAAATAGTTCAATATTTCAGAAAAACAAGGGAATGGGATAGGAAAAGTATTTTTAAAATTATCCAGAATATGTTTCCCGAACTTCCAGATTCTTCTAAGTTATATAACATTCTATTTACCATATTTTTTGAAAAATAAAATAATGGGAATTGAGCATTTTTAATCTTAAAGGAACTGGAGTAAAATGGGTATCATATAGGAAACGATTTTTAGTTTTAAAGTTAAATTGAGGACTAATTATAAAACCCTAAAATACTATATTAAATAATGATTTATATATAATTGATTACATAATCACATAAAATCAATGATCTATTACTTGATAGTATAATTCATATAAGCAACCATCTTGTCCAGCCATGAAAATTCTCCCATTTGTTTTTAATGATATTATTTGATTAAATATTAATCCATCTGTGGAAAGGCTTAATAAAGGTTTAGGTAATATAAATATAGATTCAAAGTCCATATCCTCTATACTGTAAGTGGATATATTTTGGTTACCAAACTTTATGGCCAGCAAAACAATATTATTTATTGATATCAAACACAAGATATATCTAATATCTATGTTATAATATTCTATCAACATAAAATAATATAGTAATAAATATAAATTTTTACCTATTTTGGGTATTATTAATATAGCATTTGTTATTATCTCATTAAACCCATCATAAGAGATTATATCAGAATTATTTTCATAGTTCCATAGATAGAAACTATTATCAATAATAAAATAAGCTCTGCTTAATTCAGTGAATAACCCAATTCTAAGATTGACTCCTACTCCTATTTATTGATGTAAAAAAAATTATAATAAAATACTACTATTTATTGACTCTAAAATTTCTGGAGGGAGAAGATTAATTTTTAAATTTGTGAGGGGAGATATATGCAAAAATGAATATTCATCTTTAGCTTGAGAAGGATAATCCAAATCGCTAAGTCCACTTACAGAGGGATGTGCTACAAATATATTATTAACTATTCCTAGATATGTAGGCTTACAATAATTATGAATTTTTAGTTGATGTGATAAGTCATGATAATTTGAATCTTTCTCAGAAACAATGTGTAATAATTTTATTACCTCTAGTATTTCAATATCAGTTGGAATATATTTAGATTGAATATCAGGCATTATATCTTGTACTCATATTACTTAAATATTATATTTTATTTTTTAAATTTTAGCAAAACGAGTTTCAACGAAATTAGCAGCTTATATTCGAAAATGATCTCTCGAAAATAGTGTGAAGTTAAATACATTTATTTTTTATAAGTGTATATATAAATCTAACAATTTTACATAAGAATGTTTCATTCTAGAATAATAATAATATACTATATTATATTTACCACAAATTAATTTAAATTATTCCTTGGTAAGTCGTTTTGGCACCTTGCGATTTCGTGAAGAACATCGCACGATCATTGAATATTCTAATCTTATATTAAAACTTAAATCATTATTTGTTTTCCTCTTGTTAAAAAATTAAATTCTTATTTCATATTTTACTATATTAAAAGAATATATATTTTGGATTTTTTATCCATCTCAAAAAATCATTTTTTTGAAATACTTATATTTAGTAAAATTTATTAAAATATTAACTGTAATATATTCTATAACTGTCAAATATGTCTGTAAAAATGGCATTTTACCTAATGTTTTATAACCAATATTCAGGGGCACTGCGAATACTTGTATTTAAGATACAAGTTGTATCTTGTACTTAGTATCTTTCTTACATTTTTAATAAGATACTAGTATCTGTATCAAAAATTCTTCATTCTAAAAAGAATCTTGCATCTTTTTCATTTTCATTTTCTTGACAAAAGATACAATACAAGTTCTTTTTAATATTCATGTTTATAATTTTACACATCACATATAAATCTTATTTTTTTCGAGAATTTTTTATTAATTTCTTTATTTTTTTTCACCATATTTTAAATATTATGGAAATCAAAATTAGCTGGAAAATTTACAACTAAGGTAGATAGATAAAAAATAATAACACCAAAACGAAATAAGTAAAGAATATATTATATATATAAATATAACTCGATATAGAATATCATTACCAATACATTTATTTAATTTGTAGGATTTAACACTCACGGTAGTGAAATTTAAATTTTGGGAATAAGTTCCCGTGAATCAAATTCAAATCTTAAAATTTTATATGGAAATTTTTTTAAAATAAAAGTTAAAAAAGACAATGAACAGGCTAGATGAAAAATCTTTATATACAAAAAATGATAAAGGTTTAAACATAAATTTTGTTAAAGTAACAATTGGGAGATTTTGGCATTGGGACACAAAACCTAAATATAAAATAAAAATAAAAAAAAATATATACTAAAATATGATTATATATCTTTATTAAATAAATAACTATAATCAAATACAAAGTGAAAAACATAATCAAAATAAAAGAAAAATAAAAGTAAAAAATTAAAATCTAAGTTAAACAAAAATAATAATTTTTCGCATCATAATTTTTATATTATATATCTTTTCTTTAATCAACATTTACATAGTCTAAATTTGCATCGAGATTTATTTCTTTTTTCTTGAGTAGATTTGAAAATCTTTCGGTTTCGTAATTATGTTAAAAAGTAATTTGCCTATCTTTCGTTTTTCTTAATCTAGTAAATTTGAATATTACCACAATTACAACACATATTAAAGTATATTATTTATGTGAGGTTAAAAGAGGCATAGGTTATGATATTTACAGGGAAGGCAGGAGAGGCAAGACTGATATTATTTAAAATTCATTTTAATCTTTTATTTTTCTTTCTCTATCAATACTAAAAATTTTACAACTATATATATTATTATTTTAATACTATTTACATATATACAATTTACAATTTGTTTTAAGGTTACTTTAAGAAAAGTTACAATTTACAATTTGTTTTAATGTTACTTTAAGAAAAGTTATCTTAACGTTTTACATATACAAATACGATATCTTTTTTAAAGGTCATTAAAATATATAAAGTTTATGCAAAATTTATATATTAACAGGTTATCAAAAATTCAAGTTTATAATATTGTCTATCTAAATTAAAGGCTGCCCAAGATGGTATGGGCAAAAAATTTTAAGAAAATATCTTCCTATGATTTAATTATAATGAGGTTTTTTTGACAACTATATCATATCCATATTTTAATAACTTATGGATTGAGTCAGATGTTAAAAAAAAATACTTTCAAAATATATTAATAAAAGAAGCCCTAAATATATTACTAGGTATATAATCAAGCTCAAACTATAACACCAATTGATTTAACATCTAATAATGAAAATGATGATTATTTTTCTTTTGGTTAAACAAATGTTGCTGAGTTCAATAATACTAATAACATTGGAGGTTTAAATTATAAGAAAGTCGAAATACATTATAAATGCTTAATTATTCTTCCATTAAGGAAATTTTTTATAAATAATAATGCAATACCTATATCCAATTGAAAGGTTATTTAGTTTTAGCACAATATTAAGTACACCGAAACGGCAAAGAACTAATGATAAATTGTGTAAAAATTTTAATTATTTTATAAAATAATGAATCTATTTTAAATAATCTTTTGTAAATTAATATTTCACCTCCCATTAAAAATACTAGTCTCCCTTCCCTATCTACGCTAATAATGGGCTATTACTACTATTAAAATGCCTGATTATTATAATTAACTCATCATTAAATACTTTATTAATTACTATAAATATTCATTCTTATTACATGTTTAAGTTATGTTCTTCACAAATAAATAATAAAACTGTATTTTATAAACTATTCTAATTTAATTGGTAATGATAATTTAAAAGTATCTTATTTTTAAGATACTCTAATTAGGCAAAAGATATTTTATCTTTTTGATATTTTGAAAAAGATTATCTGTATCTAAGATTCATTTTTTCACAAAAAATCTGTATCTGTTAGATTGGAGGATGCCCAACTGCCAATATTATATAATAAAGTATTATCAACTATATGTATACTTACATTTTATAAAGAAATCTCTTATGCATATTTGGATCTTAAAAATATTTTTAGGAAGAGGCATTGTAATTAAATTTAAGAATGAATAATATAGTTGATTAGTGATTTTGATCTAGGCTAATAACAATATTAAATTTGTTAATTTTCAATTATTAAACGATTATATTTATTTAATTAGGGTTATAAAATAATTTAAATAATAAAAATCAATTAAATTTCAATTGTTAATGCTAAATTAATATTTAGACATTAGTGATATTGATATTCCATTTTTAACACAGAATTTGATTGCAAGCTGACATAGTGAAAATATAATTTATATGTACTAATCTAATTTAAAAATTAAAATCCACTTAAAAAATTCATATAGTCTTAATTTTTAAATAATAAAAATCTAATAATTAAAATAGCACTAATTTAATAAGAATTTAAATAGTCTAATTAATTTTTAAATATAAATCAAATCTATATAAAAGGCTTAAAAGAATTATTAAAGAAATCGTTTAGGGGTCTATCAAAAAATTTATTTTTAGTTAAATGGGATATTAGGGAGCCATTTAAAAAAAAATTTTCGCTTCATAGGGCTATTCAAATTTTTAAGGGGGATATAACCCCTGAGCCCCCCTAGTGACGCTACTAACCTTTATAAAAAATGTTTGATCAATAATGTTGAAACATTTTTTTTTGGGGGGGGGGCGGTAGGCATAGGTTTTTCGAAATGAAAAATATAGTGAATTTTGGATGAGTTATAACATTTTATGAATAGTTAGACGTCAAGGAATGTTTGTTAAATATCAAATAAGAAAGTCTAATAAATCTCTTAAAAGAATTAAAAACTCAACCCGGTAAATATAATATTTTAATGAAATTTATCTATTTCCAGAAATTGATCTTTATCTTACAAAGCTGTAAAAATTATTTTTAGATGTTTATTAACATATGATATTAAATGTATTAAAAAATTCCAATGACCCAAACACCTCTTCCATTGCCGATGGATTATTAGCAAGAATTAAAGATGTAAATTTTATATTAAGTATTTAAGAAATATTGAAATATTCCCACGAGGCTTGTATTAAAATGCAGATAGTTGGTAATGATTTGGCTATGGTAATCAAATTAATACAACAAACAAAAAATAAATTACGAAGATTAAGAGGCCAATTAGTTATTATTTCTATAAATAATTTTAGAATGCAGCTAATGGAACAATATTTTTTTAAAATTACATTCCTAATAGTTTTGAAAAAACGTCATAAGAGTGGTGTCTTAATATCTGCAGGACTATATTTTAAATTATTTTCAATTTGAATATTAGAAAATTTAACTGATTTGTAAAATATGAAATCAATATTCAAATATGATCAGACAGAATTCAATAATTATGTGAAACAAAAAAAGAAGGTTTATTGATTTTTTTTAAAAATGATTATTTAGCTTTTATAGATATAAAATGGAAATATTT